ATAACAGTTGTATGAGCCCCTAATAAAATGTTAAAAATAAACAAATAAATAAAAATTAAAAAAAAAAGAAAAAGAAAAAGAAAAAAAAGAACTACAGGTCAAAGAAATGTAATACCAGTTATAATAACTTAAAATATAAAATTTAGTTAAAAATTAACTAAAATATGTACAAGATGTATACATTCAAAATTATAAAAGCCTTGCTGAAAAAATTCAGGATGACCCAAATAACTAGATACACATTACTTTCAGGGACTGAAAAAACTCAACATTGTTAATATGTCTTTCCGCCTCAAACCGTACTCCCAACCTTTAAATAAAAGGAAGAAACTGGCTCCAAATCAACCTCACTGTCATGGAGTTCATGCAGACTCACAGCCATCCTACAGGACAGGGTAGAATGGCTCCTGTGGGCTCTCTAGGCTGTAACTCTTTGCTGGAGTAGAAAGTCCTTTCTCTTAAAGGGGGAACTGAATACAATGGTGGATGTATCAACCACCTTTCAACAACACCCCCACCGCTGCCCCGGATGACAAACAACAGAAACATGGATGAAGGGAGCCAGTGGATGGTGTAAGATAAAGAAACAATAATAATTTATAATTTATCAAGGGTTCATGAGGGTGGGGAGGGAAGAAAAAGAAAGGAGGAGCTGATACCAAGGACTCAGTAGAAAGAAAGAAAATGTTTTGAATGATGGCAACATATGTACAAATGTGCTTGATACAATGGATGTATGGATTGTTATAAGAACTGTAAGAGCCCCCAGTAAAATGACTTATTAAAATAAATAAATGACTATTTTAAGCAGCTTTAAAAAACCATGGTTCCTCAGAAACGGAGTTGTTAAAGATTTAAAAATTTATATATATAAAGGGAAAGGATCCAGAATATCTACTATCATTTTAAAAAGAGGGCTTATACTACCTGATTTTAAAAATTTACTATAAAATTAGCATTGAACGGTATTTATAGGGATAAACAGAATAGAATCTAGAAATGGTCCAATGTATATAAGGTCAATTCATTTTATAAACAAAAGGTGTTAGGGTAATCCAAGAGAATATTCTTAAACAAAAGGTGGTGGAAAAATTTAATATCTATATATCTTTTAAGAAAAACAATGTGACCTCCTCCCTGGGAGACGGACAGCAGAAAAGTGGGTGAAGGGAGATGTGGGACAGGGCAAGATATGACAAAATAATAATTTATAAATTATCAAGGGTTCATGAGGGAGGGGGGAGTGGGGAGGAAGGGGAAAAAATGAAGAGCTGATGCCAGGGGCTTAAGTGGAGAGGAAATGTTTTGAGAATGATGCGGGCAATGAAGGTACAAATGTGCTTTACACAATTGATGTATGTATGGATTGTGATAAGAGTTGTATGAGCCCCTAATAAAATGATTTAAAAAAAAGAAAAGAAAAACAATTTTTATCTTATATCATACATTAAAAACAAAAAACAAAAACAGTGTTAAATATTAGAGCTAAAACTATCAAATTTCTAGAAGAAAATATATGAGAAGTCTTGAGGTGAGGGAAGAGTTCTTATAATAGGACCTCCACAGAAAAACTAATACATTTGACTTCCTCAATTTAAAAACTTTTCTTCTTTGAAACACACTGTTCACAAACCTAGGGATAAGGGAACAAGTGATCTGAAATAGATGGCGAGGAGGGTGTAGGAGGCCTGTTGGGCTTGATGAAGGGCAATGTAACTGAGAGGAATTAATGAAACCCAAATGAAGGCTGAACATGATAGTGGGACAAGAGGAAAGTAAAAGGAAACAAAGGAAGGAACTAGGAGGCAAAGGGCATTCATTCTATATACAGTCTAAATATATTCTATATTTAGTCTAAATACAGGCATGTACATATGTAAATATATTTATATATAATGATAGGGAAATAGATCTATGTACTCCTATTTATCTGTTAAGTCTAAAGGTAGCAGACAGACATTGGACCGCTATTCAAGTACTCCCTCAATGCAAGAACACTTTGTTCTATTCCCCCCCCCCCCCATGATGCTCACCTTCTGGACATGATTGCTAAAGTCAAAGCGGGTGCATAAGCAAATGTGATGAAGATAGCTGATGGTGCCCTGCTATCAAAAGATCTAGTGTCTGGGGTCTTAAAGGCTTGAGGATAATTAAGTGACCATCTAGCTGAGAAGCAACAAAGCCCACATGGAAGAAGCACACCCGTCTGTGTGATCACGAGGTGTCAAAGGGATCCCAGAACAAAAAAATCATGTCATTGTGAATGAGGGGGAGTGTGGAGTGGGGAACCAAAGCCCATCTTTAGGCAACTGGACATCCCCTTACAGAAGGGTCGTGGGGAGGAGACGGGTCAGTCAGGGTGCAGTATAGTACCTATGAAACATACAACTCTCCTCTAGTTTAATGCTTCCTCACCCCCACTATCATGACTCCAATTCTACCTTACAAATCTGGCTAGACCAGAGCATGTACAAGGGTACAGAGAAGAGCTGGAAACACAGGGAATCCAGGACAGATAAACCCCTCAGGACCAATATTGAGAGAAGCCATACCAGCAGGGTAAGGGGAAGGTGCGGGGGAGATAGAGGGAACTGATCACAATGATCTACCTATAACCCTCTCCCAAGGGTACAGACAACAGAAAAGTGGGTGAAGGGAGACATCTGTCAGTGTAAAACATGAAAAAAAAATTTATGAATTATCAAGGGTTCATAAGGGGGGGAGGGTAGGGGAAGGAAGGGAAAAATGAGGAGCTGATACCAAGGGCTCAAGTAGAAAGTAAATGGTTTGAGAATGATGATGGCAACATTTGTACAAATGTGCTTTACACAATGGATGGATATATGGATTGTGAGAAGAGTTGTATGAGCCACCACTAAAATGATTTTTAAAAAAAAGAAAGAAAAATACTTCAGAAGATTAAAAAAAACTATTGACAGGTTGAGAAGATATTTGTAAAACCACTATCTGAACAAAGATTTGTATCCGGAATACATCATAAACTCACACAACTTAAAAAGACAAACTCAATTAAAAATGGGTAAAGTGTGTGATCACACATTTTACCAATAAAATGTATAAATGAAAAATAAGCACAAGATGCTCATTATTACTATTCATTAGAACATGATTCCTTAATAACTATTTATTAGTGAAATGCATTATTAAAACCATTAGGAGATTCTACTTTACCACCCCTTTTATTTAAAAAACCAAGTCTACTGCCATTGATTAGATTTTGGCTTAGAACGACTCCATGGAGAAATCTGACCAGCTAGAGAAGCTCTGAGACCACAGCTCTCGATGGGGTAGCCAGGCTCCTTTCTCCCACCGAGCGGTCAGCAGTAGTTTTGAACCTTCTGGTTAGCAGCCCAATGCTGACCCACAGTATCACCAAGGGACCTTCACTAAATTCATAAGACAGACAATACCAAGTGTTTCCGAGGACGCAGAATAACGGAAACTCTTCAGATTGCTGGTGGGAGCAAAATGGTACACTCTAGTAAGCAGCTTGGCAGGTTCTTATGATGTTTTCAAAAAATCCAAACAACCAAACACTTAGCACATTCCTTGCCAATGAGTCAGTGCTGGCTCATAGTGACCGCTGTGGGCTCCTGAGACTGGCTGTTGACGGGAGTAGAAAGCCCAGTCTTTCACCCTTGGAGCTGGTGGTGGTTTCAAACTGCCGACCATGCAGATCTCAGCCCAATGCTTAACCACTAGACCACCAGGGCTCCATATGGCCCCCACATCCAAATCCTAAGTATTTACCCAAGAGGAACAGAAATCGGTCCACAAACAGACTCGTGCGTGAATGTTTTATTCAAAATGGCGAGATACTGGAAACAACTCCAATGTCTGTCAGCTGGTGAACGGCTAGAACACACTGGTGAGTGGTAATCCACACAATGGAATAATGGTCTGCAATAAAGCAACAAACTATCGATTTGGAAAAAAAGGAGGGTGAATTCCAAAGGTATCATGATACGTAACGAAACCAGATACAAAAGATTTCACTTCCATAAAACTCTGAAAAGGCAAAAACAATAGTGCGTGAAAGCAGACAGTGGTTGCCTTTGGCTGGAGGTGGGGAAGAGACACACTATAAGAGGGCATGTGGGAATTTTCTGTGAGGAGGGGGACACTCTGAACTTTAACTGAGGTGGCTCTAGGGCTGTGAGACATCTGTCCGAACTCACCGAAATGTTCACTTAAACATCTATGAATGATTTAAAAAAACTAACCTGTATAGAAGTCCTTCCTCCCCCCACCCCCCCACTATCATGATCCGAATTCTACCTTGCAAGTCTGGCTAGACCAGAGGATGTACACTGGTACAGATAGGAACTGGAAATCCAGGGAATCCAGGGCGGATGATCCCTTCAGGACCAGTGGTGTGAGTGGTGATACTGGGAGGGTAGAGGGAGAGTGGGTTGGAAAGAGGGAACGGATTACAAGGATCTACATGTGACCTCCTCCCTGGGGGATGGACAACAGAAAAGTGGGTGAAGGGAGACGTCGGACAGGGAAAGATATGATAAAATAATAATTTATAAATTATCAAGGGCTCATGAGGGAGGAGGGAGCGGGGAGGGACAGGGGAAAAAATGAGGACCTGATGCCGGGGGCTTAAGTGGAGAGCAAATGTTTTGAGAATGATGAGGGCAATGAATGTACTAATGTGCTTTACACAATTGATGTATGTATGGATTATGATAAGAGTCATATGAGCCCCTAATAAAACAATTAAAAAAATCAAATGAGTGGGAGGGAGGGGGGGAATGAGGAGCTGATAACAAGGGCTTAAATAGAAACTAAATGTTTATAAAATAGTGATGGCAACATATGTACAAATATGCTTGATACAATTGATGTATGGGTTGTTATATAAGAGCTGTCAGAGCCCCCAATAAAATGATTGTTTAAAAAAACAAACCAAACCAATGACAAATAAATAAACAATTAAAAAAGAAAAACCTGTTAAAAAAAGAAGTCCTTACCAAGGGAGGTGAGTCCCTCTGAGATAGATGTGAGAACATAGAGGAGCACAGGGGGCTCTAAGTCAGTGATGAAGCTCATGTGGTCCTGGGTGAGGCATTCCAGAAGGGGGTAATAAGACTGGCTCAGTTTCCGATATTGCTGTAAGACAGATACACTGAATGTCAAGCACACACACAGGGAAAAATATCAAAGTGCAAATTGCCATTTATAATACTAGAAATGGTCAACTAACTTAAACATATGTCAGCAAATACATAGAACAAATAACATAGTGATTTTCAAAATTCAGTATTGGAAAGGCATTTTTAATAGAAATCTCTTCATTTCTAGACATCTTAGTTTGAAGCTATTAGACATATGGTATTTCAATTTCATCTTATACAACTAATACCTAAATGAAAGTTAATCTCTACAGTATGCAATTTAGGAGGCTGTGGGATTAATCTGTGCATTTTTATACTGTAACACTGAGCAATGCTTAATAGCGGCTCAAACAAACCTCACGGCCACAGTTAATTCTGACTGATGATGACCTTGTAGGACAGGGTAAAACTGCACCTGGGGTTCCTGAGACTTTAACTCCTTATAGCAGTGGTTCTCAACCTTCCTAATGTCGCGACCCTTTCCTACAGTTCCTCATGTTGTGGTGAGCCCTCCAACCATAAAATTATTTTCATTGCTCCTTCATAACTGTCATTTTGCTACTGTTATGAATTGGGTGACCTCTGTGAAAGGGTTGTTCGAACTCCAAAGGGGTCGAGAGACCCACAGGTTGAGAACTGCTGCTTTACGGGTATAGAAAGCCTCATCTTTCTCCCAAGAAGCAGCCTGTGGTTTCAGATAGCTGTCCTGCAGTTACCCTGTTTCCCCGAAAGTAAGACACCCCCGAAAATAAGACCTACTTAAGTTTTGCCTCTCGCTGAAATATAAAGCATCCCACCAAAAATAAGGCCCCCTGAAGTTACGTAACTCTGGACCGTAGTGGCAGGCGCCGCTGTGCAGATCACTGTTGGCTGCAGCGCAGCCGGAACAGACAGGAAGTGCAAGGTCTCTTTTAATAAAACAATAAACAATAAATGTGTACTGTATTCTTCTTCATGGAAAAATAAGACATCCCCTGAAAATAAGACCTAGTGCATCTTTGGGAGCAAAAATTAATACAAGACACTGTCTTATTTTCGGGGAAACAGGGTAGCAGCCAAGTGCTTACTCACTATGCTATTGTGGGTAGGCAATCTATTTTTTTAAATACAAAAAAATTTGCTGTTAAAATAAGATCTGGCATTACAATCTAGTGTACACAATGTCCTCCAAACCACCTAACTAAATTATAATTTGGTAAATGACTTAACACTTATCTTATACCACAGACAAACCACAAATGCCCAAGAAATACAGCTAGACCACTTCAAAAGCAGCCCAAACAACAGTAAGGATGTACAACGCTCGAAGCGAGCCAAGCTGGAGCTGCTCTTTTTGAAAGAGAGGTTCAGACTTCCTTCCTGCGAATCACCGGGGCATAGGACTAAAGTACAGTTTCCCGAGTCCCATTCCAGACTGACTGAATGAAAATGTGCATTTTAAGCATATAGACTAAGACAGCCTTATGTACACTAAAGTTTGTGAATCACTGAGCTTGGGCTTTACTTGCCCTGGTGATGCTGTGGGATAAGTGTTGGGCTACTAACTGCAAGGTCGGCAGTTCAAACCTACGAGCTGCTCCTCAAGAAAAAGGCTGTCTGTTCCCATACCAATTTACAGCCTTGGAAACCCTGGGTAGGGTCCCTATGAGTCAGAATCAACTTGATAGCAGTGGGTTTGGGGTTTGGATTAAGAAATGGCTGAGACAAAATTTCTGGAACCATATCGGGATTTTTGGTGGACCTCCAGCGTAGTGAACGGTGGCGGTTTCCACTTTGTTGCCTCTGTCACATAGGCACAGCACAGTCCAATCTACTGTACGAGGCTTGACAACTTCGGCTTGAGATATGGTTCTATTAAGAATAGCCTAGCTAGGTGGAAGAGGGTGCCAACAGTCCATCAGAATGCCAGGGGTATTTCTCACGTGGGTTGACCTAAAGGGACCCCAAACCAGGAGTAGGTGGGGATACATGGAGTAAGCCTGTGAATGAATTTGGCTGTGTAGTCCAAGTAATTACTGCAACCACATTAGGCACATATTGGTTTCTGTGCAATCAGGTAGAGCTGTTGGGAAAAAATTAAAAAGGCTGATAATGCTATAGCTCAGTGGAGGGGCTTGGAAATTGGAATTTCCAACAAGTAGCCCAGGTGACTCCAATGGGCCTCAAAGTTTGAAAACCACTGATATAAATCACAGAAACTAGATGGTACACAGCAGAAAAGGGATCGGGAGATCACTCAGTTTAATTTCCTCATTTTAAAGGTGAGGAAATGGAAGCCTGGCGAGCTGGAAGTGGTGATTTATTTCCGGCGAATGATGAGGGAGAGGCAGAGTGGCGCTCACACACCAGGCTGCCCAGCCCTCAGCTGAGCTTTCTGGCCACCACACCAGAGGTCTAGGGGAGGGAGGGCCAGAGAGCTTGCAGCGGGAGGAGCAAGGATGGCATGCTGGGAAGGGGGTGACCCTGCAGGCAACCCTGCCTTTTCTGCTCTGGGGAATACAGACTTTTTTGAATTATGAGTATAATTGTAAGCAATTAGCTGAAATGGCTAATTACATTTTCTCTAGATAAACTCTGGATGGCCAGTTTGTCACAAGGTGGTAGCTGCAGCTTTCTAAAACGTACATTTCATTATGTAAACACAGTCACTACAGTTGTCCACATTCTGGATGTTAAATCAAGTGTGCTCTCCAAAAACATAAAACATTCTGGTGTTATTCTAATTCCCTGGGCTTCATTATAACGATTCCACGCTTGTGGCAGCTTTACTTCATATTTCACACAAAGACTCCCATGATGCATGAGTGCTTACTAGCAAGTCGCAGTGGGGCACCGACAGCAACATTTTGACACAGGCCTGGAGTACATTGTCAAAATGGTTGTCCCCATACAACTTGAAGACGCCAAAGCTGACATAATTTCCACACAAGGCAGATTTGAGAGCCGAATAGCAGATGGAGATGCCCTTGAGTTTCATTGGATAAATCTGATCTTTTGAGAGGCTCCCCAGGGGCAGGATCTGATTACCTGTTTCAGGGCAAAAGCAGAGAGAGAAAGTGACATAATCAGATGCAATTCAAAACAGTTAGGAGGCAGGCAATTTCACATTTTCACCTCATTGCTAATGCTCACTTCCCACACCGCTGTTCCAAACACTGCACCATACACTGTAAGGAAAAAACCCAAACACACCAGTTTACCTGGGAAGTACAAAAGGCCCATCGTGGGTATCGGGAAAGTTCCATATTGTTACCTGGCTGGTGCTAACACGGCTATACGATGGGAAGTTATGAAGCTCTGCTATTAGGGCTCCAGTTCAAACATGCACAGGTTAATTTCAGACAAAAGGTATATATTCATCTTGTGATCAGTAGGTGGCTGCAGACAAGCTCTTTCAGTAATGCCCCTGTCTAAGTCTTGGTGGGGTACCTTCAAAAAATGATCCAGACGGCTCTGGGCCATCTGCTGGCCAGTTATCTCCAAGGCAGAGCAATCAGCTCAGGCTACGACCACTGTTCTGGGGGTTCTAGAGGGGTCATCAAGACAGATTTTTCTCAGAGGACACAGGGCAGTCATGAAAAACTGCATCAATGAAAAACAGGCCAGGAAAGTTGTACCGAGGAACTTTCCCCAACACGGTGCCAACAGACCTACTCATTCCTCGAGGGAGTAAACGCTACGAGACCTTCACTGGGAAACCGTCCCCGTCCACCACACACACGGCCCAACTCATGGCCTTCAGACTGTTAGACGTTAGTACGCACCGAATTCTTTGGGAAAGGGTTAGAAACAGAACAAACAAAACAAACCCACAAACCACATTCACTGTCATCAAGCTGATGCCAACTCAGAGTGACTGTATTGGCTGGGGCAGAATTGCCTCTGTGGGGTTGAGACGGTAACCTTCATGGAGCAGAAAGCCCCGCTTTTCCCCTGTAAAGCAGCTGGTGGTTTCGAACCCGAACCGCTGACCTTGTGCTCAGCAGCACAATGTGCAACCACTACATCACCAGGGCTCCCAGTTGGGAAGGGTTAGAGAGATGAGAATCCTGCCTTCTGAAGCATATAGATCTATTTGGAAGATATGTTAAGAAACAGTAGCTTCATATTTTGATAGATTATGATTTTGAGGCAATGTTTTTTTTTGACATGCTCTCAAATATAAATATATAAAACCTCATGGAATGTATTTTAAGATTACTTCACTTCATTCATTTGCTTTTTGGTTTTACAGAAAGTAATTTATGCACCCCCCCATATAAATGTAAGAGCATACAATGTAATCAGTGACCAAAACTTTGGCCAATACAACTTCCACATTTAAAACTGAGCTATAATGATTTAAGAAAGACAAAGATCAACTCACTTCACATAATTTAATACCTTAATAAACGCAAGGAAATAATCAATTAAGTCAAGAAAAAAGGGTAACCTAGACTGAGAAGTAAATTACTCTAAATTCTGTAGGTATATGAGAATTGAATGATATAGACATAAGTTCTTGACATAATAAGTAAGGTATTTCTTCTTCTTCCTTAGATCCTTTTTCAAAAGATCTCAAGAGATGACTGTATAAACCTCTATAGAAGTTCAGTGTTTACTGAAAGTCATAAAAATACATCTTGGTATGAGTATAATCACCTTAAAGTTTTTCTCTATAGTGGTTAGCATTTATAAAAAACAATTTTCCCCCTGAAATAAGTGCTAGCCAGACATGTTACTTAGGTCATACCCAAGAGCGCTTAAAAAAAAAGTCATACATGTTTCTTAGCTCTTTTTGTTTGTTTGTTTAGCTGAGCTGCTTCTAAAATAGACACTTAATTCTCTTTATAAAATATAGAGGCACAGTGTGGTGGTTTTTACTGTGTCAACTTGGCTAAATTAGAATTAAGTTTCCCAGAACCCATTTTCTTTTATGGTTGTGGGTTGGGAGAGGCCCAAAGAGAAATTCTGTGAGCTCTGTATGGTGGAAGTCAAGTGGCAGTCAGGTTACTGTGGTTACAGGTGGCAAAAGAATGCTGCAGAACCCGATCTGATCCCGCCACACTGAGGCAAAGCACTGGGGGAGTGCAGCGGAACAGCAGGGGAGGGGAGCAGCAAGATCCCCAGGGACCTGCGGGGGACAACACCAGTGACACAGTGTGGGAATTGC